ATAAAATCTGCCAAATCGCCTGGACTGGATAGAATCCCCACAATACTGCTTTGAGAACTTGCTAATATGCTCTGCGGACCATTGTCTGTCGTATTTCAGAAGTCATTTGAAGAAGGTGAGCTCCCGTGATACTGGAAGTACGCAATCATCACCCAAATCCGTAAGTGTTTTTAGCCCTGACCTCAAAAATTTCATCCTGTCAGTCTTATATATAATAATAACAACAATAATACTTTTTTCAAGACCCTCGGTGGTTCTATCATAGCAAGGAAGAATAACATTAACTTTAATTTTGGACGAGGTATATAGAATTATTAGAGTATTAATTCATGGTTTTTGAGTAAGTAGCATGTTGCGAAGACTGTTGAACGAGCAGTAAAAAAACTCCTAACATAAACAAAATGAATATGATTGGATTAGAACTACAGGGAAAAAACTCTCGCTCCTTAGTTTATAAAAAGCAGACAGGACTGGACTGCTTATGGCATTGTATGACGTATTTCATGGAGGGGTAATTAGGCGGGTCAGGCAGGACTTTGATGGGACCCCGACGGGTCTTTAATAAAATAATTGAATTGAATTGAATTGACTGGCCTGTATGAAGACTTGAGCAAAAGGATCGAGTCGGGGAATCATCATGGGAGAATTCAAATGCCGGATGAGGCCATTAATGTCAAAGCGGCGAATTGAAAACCAGTTTCGAGGCGATGGGAACCCAGATGCGATCAGTTATAATAATAATAATAATAATAATAATAATAATAATAATAATAATAATAATAATAATAATATTTAACGCCAGTTTACAGGCATTGTCAGGGAAGCGTTAAACACAAATTCGGCCAGCAGTTAAAAAAAACTCCTGTGGAATAGGAACAAAAATATAGCTGATGGTGGTTTTATGGATGGGAGGGTTCAGGAAAAAAAACTGCTGGCTACAAGCATTCGACCGTCAAGAAGGGAGGGGTTGCACGGTATCGGATATTATCAGTCGCCCATTTCCTTCATGAAGTTAGGGTTAGTCCAACCAGAAGTGCCGAAGAACAGCTGTCGTTGGTGGCCAAAGAAATTTTCCCTGGTGAGACCGGCCATAGTGTTGAAAGACCACAAAGGCCATCGCTACGGTAGAGTCGATCAGTGGATTCAGCACCCAAAATGTGTGGGGACTTTTCTGAATGCAAATATCGAGTAATAGTTCTCTTAAATAAAGGATAATTTTGCAGAGTTTTTACATTCCTGGGTAGTTTATTCCAAATGGCAATTGCATTCACAGAAAAGAACCGACGATATTTAACAGTACGTGCCAGAGGCAGAAATAAAAAGACCTCACGGTGACTGTTACGTCGGGGGTGGACATGATGTCTTAATGAGGTGAGTGGGTTAAATGTGTGATTATATAAGAGATTAAATAGCAAAAAATATTCCCTTCTGTAATCTACGGAATCATAAAGGACCAAGGCACGTAACACGGCAACGTTCTTGGTAAGACAAATTTCGGTGTTCCGGGGTTAAAATTGTCTTGGTAAAAAAGTGTTGAACGAATTCTAATTTCTTCCGCTCAGTAGCACGCATGAGGCTGAATAAAAACGAACAGTATTCTAGGCCGGGTCTAACGTGCATGTTGAAAATGCGCATTCTTATGTCCCTAGTTTTAAAGTTTCGGAGGATAAACCCGGTTGTTCTACGTGCTTTGGAGACTATCAAGGCACAGTGCTCCGAGAGATTGAGACTCTTGGAGTATGATATGCCCAGATCTTTTATAACCCTTAGCAGGTTTATGGAGTGACCTTCAATACTTAGTTGAGGTTGGCGGTCGTCGCCAACCACCATGACTGAGCACTTATGCCAAGAAAGAGAAAGGCGCCATGTGCGGCACCACTGGGCGAAAGCCTGTAGGTCGATCTGTAGGTGCTCAATCACTATGTCACGATCTGCCGACTTATATCGATATGCAACTTTAAGATCATCGGCATACATGAAAGGCCTACCAATCTGAAATAAATCGGGTACATCATTAACGATAAGGCGAAATAAAAGCGGGCCGAATACACTACCCTGAATGACTCCACTCGTCACACGTGTGGGGTTGGAGATAGTAGTGGAAATCTTAACTCGTTGTGTACGAGTGCCCAGGTAAGAGGATATAAAATTCAAAAGTTTGCCACCTATTCCGAAAGAGGATAGTTTCAAGAGAAGGAGGGCATGGTCAACACGATCAAAAGTCTTAGTGAAATCGAAATATACTGTGTAAAGTGCAAAACCATTGTCCCTAGGTTGGAGAACATAATCAGTCAGTCAGTCAGTCAGTGTATTTGAGGGAAATAGGCTTACGCCTTTGAACTCCCTATTTGTACATAAAAAATCGATAAACAAGCAAAAATGTGAAGAAATTGCAGCATTAAATGAATGCATACATTGATTCACATATGT